CTTCAGCGTGTGCGGGAGGCCGTGAACCTGGGGAGGGAACCATCCAAAAGGAGTGATAGGCAGAGATCACACAAGCTGGGAAGAGCTTGTGTTCCCTCCAGCCAGAGTGCAAAATCGTACAATTCAGATGGCATAGGGTGGAACATTCAGAAACTATTGCCTAGTATTGAGCAAAAATTAATTCTTAATGAATTCTCTAAAAAAATGTAAAAAGCAAGTCTCAAGAGGATTACACTCTTTCCAAGTAATCAGACTACAATGCAGAATATTTCTAGTAAGTATTATATACATATTTTTATATATGATATATTTTATATAAAAATAGATAATTAGGCCAGGAGCAGTTGCTCACACCGGTAACCCAAGCACTTTGGGAGGCCAAGGCAGGCGAATCACAAGGTCAAGAGTTCCAGACCAGCCTGGCCAACATGGTGAAACCTCATCTCTACTAAAAATGCAAAAAATTAGCTGGGTGTAGTGGTGGGCACCTGTAATCCCAGCTACTGGGGAGGCTGAGGCAGGAGAATCGCTTGAACCTGGGAGGCAGAGGTTGCAGTGAGCCGAGATGGTGCCACTGCACTCCAGCCTGGGGGACAGAGTTGAGACTCCATTTCAAAAAAAAAAAATATATATATATATATATAATTATGATTATATATAAATTCATATATATATGAATAGTATATATTCTCAGTATATATATAATTAAAATATGTATATACACTCAGCACCCAACATTCCAGCTGATGTCATGTTAACTACATTGGGATCCTTTTGTCCTAGAAGGGTATTGTGGGTTGAACTGTGTGTCCTTCAAATTCAAAGTCAGATGCCTTCTCCATTAGTCCATGTGGTCCCCGGCTATGCCCCTTAATTTCATGTGTTGAAGTATAACACCTAGAACCTCAGAATGTGATCTTATTTGGAGACAAGGTCTTTATAGAGTTGATCAAGTCATTATGAAGTCATAAGAACAGGCCCTAATGCAATGGCACTGCTTTTCTTTCTTTTTTGTCAGGGGGGACAGGGTCTTGCTCTGTTGCTGGAGTGTAGCGGCACAATCTCAGCTCACTGCAGCCTTCAACTCCCAGGCTCAAGCAATCCTCCTACCTCAGCCTCCTGAGTAGCTAGGACTACAGGTGTGCACCACCATGCCTGGTTAATTTTTTGTAGAGATGGGTTTTGCCATGTCTCCGAGGCTGGTCTTGAACTCCTGGCCTCAAGTGATCCACCCACCTCAGGCTCTGAAAGTGCTGGGACTACAGGCACGGGCCACCGTGCCCAGCCTGGTGTTCTTATAAACAAGGAAAATTGGGACACAGAGACTCACACAAAGGGACGAAGATGTGAGATACAGGAAGAATGTGAAGATGGTCATCTATAAACCAAAGAAGGGCCTGGGACAGACCCTACCCTCTCTGTCCTCACAGGAAACCAACCCTGCCCACACCTTGATCTTGGACTTCTAGCTTCCAGAACTGTGAGAAAATAAATATCTATTGTTTAAGCCATCCAGTTTGTGGTACTTTATTACAACAACCCTAGCAAACTAGCACAAAGGGCAAGCAATTCAGTCTTACTGGAATAACACTCTGGGTGTTGGTTTACCTTTTCTGCCTGCAAAGTCTCTCAGCCAGCATCACTGTCTGGGATCTTATGGAGTGCCTGATTCACAGGCATGGATCCCACATAACGGAGCATCTGACCAGGAGACCGACTTCACAACGAAGATCCAGGGGTCACCTGGCCCTATCACACATGCACCACCCAGAAGTAATCAGCCTGAAAGAACATCAGCACTGCTTACTGGAGAAACAGCCGACTTATCGGTTCAGAGGCAACACTCTGCAAAGATGGGTGCCATCTTCCAAGATGCTGTATCGGCACTTGTCTCACAGGCCTGTTTATTGGGCATTGTCTCTAACAGGAAGAATATATGGGTCCTGGAACAATGGTCCCCATCCAAGGGATTCCATTCTTGCCAGGAAACGCCTCAAGAGTCCCATTGAACTTTAAATTATTGCTACTGTCTTAGTACTTGGATTCCTGTGTCCAGAAGCAGGCTGCAAAGAAGGTCATCTTGGTAGGCGCAGTTGACCCTGATTTCCAGCTCAACAATCCAGAATTGACCACTCAAGGCAATGTCTTATGGTTTAGACTAGAATACATTCTAATTTTGCTTGACCAATTTTTTCCTAAGAAGTAATGTTAAAGATCTTTAGTGATAATTCCTAGCTATGAACGTAGTTTTTAGAACAAGAAAATTTTCTTTCTTGGTAAAGAATTTCTTGGAAAACATTGCCTTCTGTAGCACATAAGAAGAATTGAGTGTCAATACATAAAACTGAATAGGAGCAAAAATAACAGTATTTCTGGAAATTTGACTTAAGTCATGGAAATTTACTTGACTTTGGGGCTTGAGGTAAACAATATGTAATAAGTAATTTAAGCAGTGAACTGAAAATTAAGGGGAAACATGATTTCGATTTAGAATAAACATGGTATTTTACTTGACATAACTGCTTTGAGATCAGTGGCAAAATCTTCCTAGTTTTCAAAAAGAAGTTTCAGGTTAGGAACTCTATTGCCTAGGAAAGCTTACAGATGTAAGGACTTTAGTAGAGCTAGCCTCCCCACTCCAAGTACTCATAGGGGCACACCTAGTTTCTAAGCAACCCAGTCCCAAATGAGGTTCACTCATGGGAGAAAGAATAGCTTTCCCAAACAGTCTTCATTTTTAGCTACCGTTAGAGTTTTAGGCGTTTTCCCCCGTCATGTAACGCCCGTGAGGAGGGCTTCCCCCATAAAGGGACAAGCAGAAAAAGCAGGGGGTTGGGGAGCAGGATTCTAGTAGACCCTGATAAGGACTCCTGCCTTTAGAGTAAGCCAGCTTGCACGTTAGGACGCTACAAATCACATGAAGGAGGCCAGCGAAGAGAGGCTTCTTCACACACTGTGGTTTACTACGCAAGGAGAAGAAACCCACCCAAGAAAATTCAAGGAGGTCCGCTTTCGGAGACCACCATCCCACCCTGCCCCCCAATCCCCTTTCCCACAACTCTTCCTCTTAAGTCTTTATGCCAACACTTCCCCGCTTTTCCCTACTTTCTTTCCCACAGCCTTCTTCTTCTTCTTTTTTTTTTTTAAGATAGGGTTTCACCATATTGGTCAGGCTGGCCTTGAACTCCCGACCTCAGGTGATCCGCCCACCTTGGCCTCCAAAGTGCTTGGATTACAGGCGTGAGCCACCACGTCCAGCAGCCTTCTTCTTTAGAAAGAAAGAAAAAAGCTTTATACCAACACTTCCCAGCTTTTCCCTACTTTTTTCACTGCAACCCAGGCAGGCACCCAACACACACTATCAGCCACCCAACTTCCCCCAGACACACACTCTGCCAACTGCAGGCAGCTTGAGCTACCCTTCGCCGTTTTATAGACGGTGAAGACTAAGTTCCCGCCCACCCCAGCCCCAAAGCACTCTGGGTGAGCAGCTACTCCTGGGGTTTCTCATTGGCTCTCTCACTCTCAATCAACAGCTTGTTCCCAGCCCCTCCAAGCATTTCCTGGTCCACGTCAACAATAGCGGCAAGAAGAAGTGGAGGTTTATTGTCCAGCCGTACACAGCACGGGCAGGAATGATAGCTTCCCACCCCCAGCGGCTGCCGTGATCGGAAAACGAGCGTGAGCTTCTTCGCTGAAAGAATATATCATTATCCTTTGGGTTCACCCTGCTTCCTTGTTGTTAAGAATCAACTGAAGTGCCTAAAAATTGTCGAATTTCAGGACTCTACCCTGGAAATGGTGATTTAGAAGGTCTTTGGGGAGGGCCTAGGAGTCTGTGGTTTTAATAAGCACCTCCGGGATTTGCTCTCTGGGGAAGGTGGCATAATACTAAAGAGTTGGTATTGAAACGTTTCTTTCCAAGAAATCACTTGTTACATTTATCCTAATATTCTGTTAGTTGCTCCTTTAGATTTGAGCTTCTCCAGCAGCTCCCACAAATAAGCAGTTTTTCCTGGAAAGGGAAATGCAACAGTTTAAGAGGCAGCTGGCTAGTATTGATTTTCGCAGTACACCCTGACGCCCTGCCACCTCCTCAACCAGTGAGCCACAGATGTGTGTGGGGTATTCTTTATCAGCCTATTCAGCTGGATCGATTTGTGACCCTAAAGTGAACCTCCAGATGAGTAGGGCGATAGTGTAGGCAGAAACTTGTTAAAGGAGGGAGGTGGGGTGTGGAATGAGAAAGTTTTAGGACCTCACTGGCAGGCCTGGGCATCTGGAAAACTGTGGGAATACTTTTGGGAAGAAGGTGGCTTTTTGTGTATCATGGGCTGTGGCAAGATAACTTGATTTACACCCACCCTCGTATCAGACATGCTCCAAGAAAGAACAAAGGTTAAATACCGTAGGTTTTTTGTTTTTTGTTTTTTTTTTGTAGTAATTTGCAAATTGATTCTGTAATCGTCATTAGTTTCCTAATCAAAATAACAGTCAATTCACTGTTTCTCGCAAATTTTCGTTCATTTTCCTAACTTCCTGTTTCATCAACCTGGATTGTCCTTTCTCTCATGTCCACAAATTAAAATTCTAGTGATTATTTGAGACTCAGCTGAGATGCTAAATCTTTGTGGGAGTCTTCTCTAATTTCCCAGTTTGGTTCTACCTGGCTCATCAAGTGTTTATCAAACAGTTATTGAGGTGCAGGTGATTTGGGAATGGAGATGGCCCAGGTCTGGTCTTCTCTCTAGTGTATCTCACACCCTAATTAATAAACTGCTCTTTGCTTTGCTCTATTCCAATTTTAGTATATGTGCTGCCGAAGCAAGCACTTTTTGTTGTTTGTTTTTTTATGATTCAGTCTCCATACAGACTGCCAAAAATTGCCAACGCCGACTATATTTCAAGTCGTCATGGCAGGGTATTGGGAAAAGTTTTCAATTAGCAATAATCGCGCCCTGGCTAAACCTCATTTGCTACGATACTGCCACTGTGCAAAGCTGCTGTGCTCTATTATAGCATCACTTCTACCTCCAACACTTTATTTTCTGTGCATTTTTTGCTATCATATTGGTCTGTATCACTGTATTCTGAGTTCCTGGAAAAGTGGTAGAAGAACGTCAACTCTATGCCAAGAATGTGGTACAAATGTAACGTGTTTCCTGAATGGACGAATGAATGGATGAGAGGAGGAGATGGCTGCAAAGAAATGAAATTCAGCCTTCTTCAATATTTTATCTTTAGCCTCAGAATTGAGTCCTGTGATGACGTTAGAGAAAATTCTGAAATTTCTTGGGCTTTGGAAATGGCTTTGACTCCATAAAGCTGGCCTATAAGATCAGGAAGAGCAAAGATTACCAGAACTATAGAGGGAAAATATTTCAGGACAAGAACTAGCCGTCTTCTCCCTTATTCCCAATTTATGAGTTCAAGTCCTACCTGACACAGGTATCAGTAAACTTTAAGAACCTGGAAGGTTGTATAGTATAATGCTTAAACATGCAGATTCTGGATCTGTGTCCTCACTGTGTGGCTTACTAACCATCCATCCTTATGTGACCTTGTGCAAATTACATAATCTCTCTAGGTTTCAGTTTCCTTATAAATAAAACGGGGATTATTATGATTATAATAGTACCTCCCAGGATTATTAGGAATGTTAAATGAGCTAATACAAAGAAAGAACGTAGAACAGTGATTGGAACATAGTACTAAATTGTCACCTATAATATAACACTGCGTAAATAACATAGCTCAGTAAATTTAGCTGTTACTGACTTATGCTAGCTGAGAAAAGTAGATTCACAAGGCTTTGAATGATGTGGAAGCCTTCTCTTATTTCTCAAGGCTATAGTCTACACTGATGTAGGCTGAAGCCTTGATTACAGTGGCATATTGGGAATTGCTAGAAAATTAAGAGGCTGTTGGTAAGAGTCCCTAACCAATTGGAGGGGCACCCATACCTTTCCTTACTTAGTCCATACTTAGTCGACTCTTACAGCGTGCAAACTCTGCCATCATTTATTTAACCATTCTTTTATTTACGGGTACATGAGTCGTTTCCAGTTTTTTAAAAGAATGCTGCAGTGAAAATCTTCAGCTGTCATTTTTCACATTACTGTGGGAGAATGTGGTGGGAGGCGCCATGGGGGTGAGTGACCCCATGTGTGACCAGGCTTTGTGAGCTTTTGCCTCTGTCTTTCCCAATGTTCCTCCTACAGTGGCTGCACCTGGGTGATGATGGCTGCGTGAGTGCCCGCCATGGCCCACCGGAAGTGTGAGAGTGCGGGGAGCAGCATGTTTGACCACAAGGTGAGGCCGGGCCCTGTCTCCCACGGCCAGGAGCGAGGACGTGGAGCTGCCCTAGGAAGGCTCTGTGGCCAAGGGCCAGGAGCTGTCTGCCCTGTGGCCAGAGATCCCCATGCCTGAGGAGCAGGAGTTCCACAACCACAGCCCCGATGGGGACTCCAGCTCCGACTACGTGAACAATACCTTCTAGGAGGAGGACTACAACAAGAGCCTGCCCGAGAAGGAGGAGGGCATCACCTATATCCGCTACTGCCCCAAGGATGACAGCTACCTGGAGGGCATGGACTGCAATGGGGAGGAGTACCTGGCCCATGGCGCACACCCCATGGACACCGAGGAGTGCCAGGAGGCGGTGGAGGAATGGGCGGACTCGGCGGGCCTGCACCCTCACAGCCACAGGGCTGAGGGAAGCCAGAACTACCCAGACGGCCACCTGCCCATCCCAGAGGATGAGCCCTCAGTCCTGGAGGCCCATGACCAGGAAGAAGATGGACACTACTGTCACAGCAAAGAGGGCTAGGAGGACTGCTACCCCATGGAGGCCAATGGAAACACCAGTGCCTCCCCCTACCACCTGAGGTGTGGGGATGGGGACCTGGAGGACCAGGAGGAGGACATTAACCAGATCATGAGCATGAGCATGACCAGCATCACTAGTGCTAGTGAGGCCAGCATGGGACTGAGCCGGGACCTCGGAATTCTGCAGAGGCCTGCCTGCCCAGCAAGGCCAGCTGCAGCCCCAGCAGGCATGAAACGAGGCCCAAGTCACTGAACCTCCCTCCCAAGGCCAAGCACTGTGGAGACCCCCAGAGAGGCTTCAAGCCCAAGATCAGGACCCCAGAGGAGAGGCCACAAGCAGGTAGGACTCTGGCTGTCTCAGGGAAGGGAGCAGAGGAGCCCAAGAGTGAAATGTCCCAGTACAGCTCCCACAGATGCTGAAGTGAGGCAGTGGGAGGGGTTGTGTGCCTTGCAGTTCTTTTTTGTTTGTTTGTTTTTGCCTTTCAGTTCTAATGGTGGCTGAGCTTTTCATTGGTCCAATTGCCAGGCATCTTGTGTGGATGCTCTGCCTACTCTTATGCTCACCCCTCAGACTCAGGAGTAAAGTCTTGTTGAGGGCCGAATGACCACTAGTTTTTGGCAGAAGACCCCCCCTCCTCCCACCTAGAAGTGGTTCGATATCTCCCCTACTGCCTTGGATCTGCTCATGGTGGGGCAGTGTCTGTGGGAGAGCCCCTCAATCCTCAGGGGTGTACTTGTTCCAGTGGGGCAGTGGCAAAGATGCGGCCAGTGGTGGGTGGCCTGGTGGCTGGGGTGGGGCCTGGAGTGTATTTCACAGTGGACAGGTTTCTGAAAGCCCGGAGGCCTTGGCCTGATGGGCAGTTAGCTGTGAATAACTATTTGGAAAAGGATCCTGCAGATCTTATGTGTTCCATAGGTATACACATGCCATGGTGGTTTGCTGCCTCCATCCCCCCGTCACCAACATTAGGTATTTCTCCTAATGATAATGATGGTTTCCAGCTTCATCCACTTCCTTGCAAAGAACATGAACTCATTCTCTTTTATGGCTGCACAGTATTCCATGGTATATATGTGCCATATTTTCTTTATTCAGTCTATTTTTGGTGGGCATTTGGGTTGGTTCCAAGTCTCTGCTATTGTAAACAGGGCTGCAATGAACATACCTGTGTGTGTGTCTTTATAATAGGTCGATTTATAATCCTTTGGGTATATACCCAGTATTGGGATTGCTGGGTCAAATATACAAGAAAAAGACAACCCCATCAAAAAGTGGACGAAAGATATGAACAGACACTTTTCAAAAGAAGACATTTATGAGGCCAGCAAACATATGAAAAAATGCTCCTTAGCACTGGTCATTAGAGAAATGCAGATTAAAACCACATTGAGTTACCATATCATGCCAGTCAGAATGGTGATCATTAAAAAAATCTAGAGAAAACAGATGCTGGGAGGATGTGGAGAAATAGGAACATTTTTACACTGTTGGGAGTGTAAATTAGTTCAGCCATTGTGGAAGACAGTGTGGCGATTCCTCAAGGATCTAGAAATTGAAATATATATATATATATATATATATAATTCTTTAATATACATTATCTATATCTTAGAATGGAGAATATAATTCTTTAATATAAATAACCTATATCGTAGAATATATTTATAAATATCTTATCAGACATAAGGCTTGCAAATGTTTTCTTTTATTCTGTGGATTGCCTTTCCACTCTTTTGAACATATTCTTTGATGCAAAAGAGTTTTAAGTTTCAAATAAGTGTAATTTATCTACTTTCAATTTAGTTGCCTGTGTTTTTGGTGTTTCATCTAAGAAAGCATTGCCAAATCCAATATTACAAACCTTTCCATTCTGTTTTCCTCTAAGACTTTAGTACTATTAGCTATTGCATTTAGCTCTTTGATCCAATTTGAGTTAATTTTTTTGTATATGGTGTAAGCTAAGCATCCAGGTTTTTCTTTGGCATATAGATATCCAGTTTATGCAGGATCACTTTTATTCAAAAGACTGTCTGCTTGGTCTGTGTGTTTTTCTTCCTCTAAAGTTTATATGTTAAACCCTAACCCCCTTGATAATGGTATTAAGAAGTGGGAACTTGGAGAGGTGATTAGTTAGGTCATAAAAGTTTCATCCTCATAAATGGGATTAGTTCCTTTATGAAAGAGGCCGAGGCCAGGAGCAGTGGCTTACTCCTGTAATTCCAGCATTTTGGGAGGCCAAGGTGGGTGAATCACCTGAGGTCAGGAGTTTGAGATCCGCCTGGCCAACATGGTGAAATCACGTCTCTACTAAAAATACAAAATTAACTGGGCTTGGTGATGTGTGCCTGTAATGCCAGCTTCTCTGGAGCCAGAGGCAGGAGAATCGCTTAGTACCTGGGAGGCAGAGGTTGCAGTGAGCTGGGATAGCACCATTGCACTCCATCCTGGGCGACAGAGGGAGACTGTCTTAAAAAGAAAATGCATAAAGAAGCCTGTTTACCCATTCTGCCATGTGAGAACACAACACATAGAAGGTGCCTTCTGTGAGGAATAGGCCCTCATCAGACACTGAGTATGCTGGCGTCTCGTTCTTAGACTCCTCAGGCTCCAGAACTGTGAACAATAAATCATTACAAATTGCCCAGTTCAAGTTATTTTGTTATAGAAGCCCAAATAGTTTAATACAGTCCTTTCCTCATTGAATGTTAGTGCCTGTGTCAAAAATCAATTGATTATAAATATGATGATTTATTTTTGGAGCCTCTACTATATTCCATTGGTATATGTGTGTTTTTATGCCAGAACCACACTAATGTGATTATTGTAGCTTTGCAGTAAAATTTGAAATCAGAAAATATGAGGCATACAACTTTGTTCTTCTTTATCAAGATTATTTTGGCTACTCAGGGTCCCTTGAATTTAATGGGAATTTTTAATATTTTTTTCTATTTCTGGAAAAAACACTTTTGGGATTTGGATAGGGATGAACACTTTGGGTTGTATTGACATCTTAACAATATTACCTTTTCCAATTCATGAGCAAAGTTGTCTTTCCATTTATTTATATCTTCTTTAATTTGTATCAGCAATGTTTTATAGTTTTCAATGTATTAGTCTTTACCTCTTTGATTGTATTTATTATAAATACTTTATTATTTTCAATAAAATTATTTTCTTGCTTTTTCAGATTCTTCAATGGTAGCGTATGGAAATGATTTTTTTTTTTTTTTCAGTCCCTGATCTAGCCATCCTGGCAATTGATTTTTATGTGGTAGTTTTTTTTTAATCCTGCTACTTTGTTTAATTTGTCTGTTAGTTCTAACAAGTATTATGGGGCAGAATTTTACACAGTAGGATACAGCACTGGGTAGAGTTGTGAGGCTCCCAAACCAGGCCCTAACTGCAAGACTATATTCGTAGACACACCCTCGGCCAAAAGGGAACCTGCTACCTTGAGGGAAAGGCCCCATCCTGGCAGGATTTATGTCCTAAGAGCCCGAGGGTCCAGAATAACCAGCAGTGATACCTAGGTAGTAAACTATGGGCCTTGGGCTCCTAGACATGCTGGCTTCAGGGGTAACCCAGCATATTTGCAGCTCTGATGGCTATGGCAAAAGACCCCTGATGTTTGAGAAAAGCAGAGGGAAAATTAAAGGGAACTTCATCTTGCACTTTAGGTGCCAGCCTGGCCACAGGGTGGCAGAGCGAAAAGCAGGCCCTTGGGGTCCCTGAGTCTAGGCCTAGGCTCTTTGACAGCATTTCTGGACCTTCTTTGGGCCAGGGGACCCTCTTCCCATGTGTCAGGGGAGGGACCTGGTGAAAGGTGATTAGATCATGGCAGCAGATTTCCCCCATGCTGTTCTTATGATAGTGAGTGAGCTCTCATGAGATCTGATAGTTTAAAAGTGTAGTACTTTCCTCATCATTCTCTTTCTCTCTTGCCACCATGTAAGACGTCCCTTGCCTGCCCTTTGCTTTCTACCATGATTGTAAGTTTCCCATGGCCTCCCCAGGCCATGTGGAACTCTGAATCAATTAAACCTCTTTTCTTTATAAATTACCCAGTCTCAGGTAGTTCTTTATAGCAGTGTGAAAATGAACTAATACACCAGATGGTACATGTGCAGAATGTGCAAGTTTGTTACATAGGTAAACACATGCCATGGTGGTTTGCTGCATCCGTCCCCCCACCACCTACATTAGGTATTTCTTCTAATGTTATCCCTCCCCAGTCCCCCTACCCCCTGAAAGGCCCTGTGGTGTGATGTTCCCTTCCCTGTTTCCGTCTGTTCTCATTGTTCAACACCCACTTATGAGTGAGAACATGCAGTGTTTGGTTTTCTGTTCTTGTGTCAGTTTGCTGAGAATGATGGTTTTCAGCATCATCCATGTCCCTGCAAAGGACATGAACTTTTTTTAAATGGCTGCATAGTATTCCATGGTGTATATGTGTTACATTTTCTTTATCCAGTCTATCTTTGATGGGCATTTGGATTGGTTCCAAGTCTTTGCTATTGTAAACAGTGCTGCAGTAAACATACGCGTGCATGTGTCTTTATAATAGAAGGACTTATAATCCTTTGGGTATATACCCAGTAATGGGATTGCTGGGTCAAATGGTATTTCTAGTTCTGGGTCCTTGAGGAATTGCCACACTGTCTTCCACAATGGTTGAATTAATTTACACTTCCACCAACAGTGTAAAAGCATTCCTATTTCTCCACATCCTCTCCAACATCTGTTATCTCCTGATTTTTTTAATGATCGCCATTCAAACTGGCATGAGATGGTATCTCAATGTGGTTTTGATTTGCATTTCTCTAATTACCTGATGATTAGCTTTTTTTCATATGTTTGTTGGCTGCATAAATGTCTTCTTTTGAAAAGTGTCTGATCATATCCTTTGGGCAAAGGGTAAAATGAGGTTGTTTTTTTTTCTTGTATATTTGTTTAGTTTCTTTGTAGATTCTGGATAGTAGCTCTTTGTAAGATGGGTGGATTGCAAAAATTTTTTTTCCATTCTGTTGGTTGCCAGATTACTCTAATGATTGTTTCTTTTGCTTGCAGAACTCTTAAACTTAATTAGATCCTGTTGGGAAAAGCAGCAAAGGAGAAAGGGCTTATAGAGTACCTACGTAAATTGGTTATGAGTAACATGTAAACAGGGAACAACAAACTGCAGAAGGCCGCAGGAGGCCTCTGGGGAGGAAGGCCTCTCTATGCCTCATGTTCCGGTGCAGGGTGACCTAGGCACTGTTACCATAAACATTGTGCTCAAGGATGTAAAACCCCTTCATAGCACTATGATGTAGCCAGACTTGTAGGCTCCTTGTAAGGCC